AAATCTGTTCATATCAATAAAATTAATGTAATAAGTTACATATTTAAGCTATCATCGTATTTATTTAAAACATTCCGATCTTAATGTCATATTCTTGATATATATTAATTTCTTCTCTATGTAGAAAATCTGGCTTTTAATAAACCAACTTGGCAAGCATATCCATATATTAAAAACAAAACATTCCAGTCGAGTAATGCTGTCGATGGAATGAAGTACGATCTTCGAGCCTGGAAAGGGCAGTGTACCATATCTAATCTTTCAAAGAGTTCAGCTACGTGGTGGGTAAACTTAGGATCAGTCTCCAGTATCCATCATATCCGGATATACTATAGGACTGATAATTTTCATGGGGTAAGAAATATTTAATAACTCTTCTTTTATACCACATTTTGATCTTCAAATTTTGATTATTTTACGAGCTCCGTCGATGAAGCACATGTTTGATACTAATTATAATGTTTTAAAATTACATATAATCCAGAAACATAACATCCTCGCGTTGAGATTTTCATAGTTCCTCAATTTTATTATCTCATGCTCGCTATTATAAAAAATGACATATGAAGTATATTTGTCGCCTTATCAGTTAATTTTGTATCATAAATTCTAGATAATTGATTTTCCAAATGCTTATTTTAGGTGCAACGAACGAATTCACCTCAAGATTCTTGGGGTTTTATATTTATATATCAAACACAACAAACTCACATGATGGTCATCTCTGTTTCCACGACACAATCTACAACGTCTACACTATACCAGCTGTAATCAACATAACTTGTCCTATACATGGTCAGTACGTCATTTATTATAATGAGAGACCACAGAGCTCAAAATACGCCAGTCAGTTTTCACAATATGCATTCAACGAACTATGTGAAGTTGAAGTATATGGTATGTTCCTTTTCATATCAGGTGGTATAAATAACGAATTTATGCATGGAAGACAATTGTACGAATATCAAAATAAGCAGCAAAACTTTCTCAATATATATCAAATTTAACATATTATAACATGAATAATGATATACTGTCTACTCAAACAAATATAGTTTTTTTTAAGAGTTTTTACTAAAACTAACTACATGTATTTGATGGAACAAATAATCATGATTTTTTTTTCTCGGATGACAAATTAACTGTTATCTTTTTAATTAAAGGATGTAAAACAGGCTTCTATTCATATAACTGTTCCATACCCTGCCCCAGCAACTGTAGAAATCCTTACTGTCACATAGAGACAGGTGCTTGTGATGAATGTAATCCTGGTTTTCATGGACAAGAATGCGACACAAGAACTAGTAAGATATCAATAAAAGGACAATATACTGTATACAGGGTTATTTTCGCCCCGTGTTATTTTTGCCCTCTTCCACTTGCGAACTATTTTGCCCCGTTTCAAATTCGTCCTGTCTTACTTTAGTTTAAGTAATTATGTTGTGTAATTTAAATTTGCACCGTGTTAAATTCAAACAACCAGGAAGAGGGCGAAAGGGGCGAAAATAAAACGGGGGCGAAAATTCCCATATATACAGTAGTTGGTTTCAAATGCAGTTTACATTCAGTCGGTTCATACTTTTACAGTTTTCATGACGTATCTTCAAGCATAATGAACAGGAACACATTTTCTGATTTTAGATTGCCCTTTAGGGTTGTACGGCAGGACTTGTGAAATGAATTGTAGTATAAATTGTCTTTACGCTGAAGGATGCAACACAACATCTGGAGTTTGTCAAAAAGGCTGCAGAGCAGGTTGGAAAGGATTAAAATGTGACACACGTAATAAACATATTTTTTTTTAATTTATATTTATTTTACTGATGACATTTATAAAGTATCAAAACTTGTTTATGCATTAAGCAAGACAATAAGCCGTTCAACATTACATGTAATTTTTTTACTGAGAATATCTAGAAAAAAATAGGAAAATTGTGGAAATTCCCTTCTCATTTGATAAGCTTGTGAAGACGGGGTGTATGGAATTGGATGTAAGCAGAAGTGCAGTGCCTTTTGTTCCGTGTCAGGTATTTGTGATCATGAAACTGGGGCCTGTAAAGAAGGTTGTAAAAGTGGCTGGGTGGGAATGGATTGTCTACAGGGTAGGTAAATATATTCATTATTACATTTGGTATCATTGAAGTTATAAGAAAAGTATATATAAACTCAGCCATATAATTGACCTTGTCGTTATATGTTATAAAAAAAATTGGAAAAAATGCATGTAAGAAAATGAATGATTTATGATCTATTAAGTTTAATGACTGATGTAAAAAAAAAATGAATTATGTACTTTAATGGATTTTACACAATTATTCAACACCCTTCTCTCTGTCTTAGTTTCAACACTTACGATATATCTTTTTAAAAATTATAAATGTTTCGCAAAACTTCAAATTAAGGCACATTACTAGGGTTAATCCAAAGGAAAAAAATCCCTGAGTATTTGTCATCATATAAACCTATCACATTTTATTCATGATGTAACATACAGCTTACAACAAAGAGACATGTGTTGTATCCTTGAGTGTGATATATGCACAGAGAACGAGCAGTATATGTGCTCAAAATCCATTCAATATCACAATCACGGATTTCAAAAACATCAGAGGTAGAATCAGCTGTCATGGGGGAGTAATCATCCCCTGCCAACCGATCACACCCCCGGCATGTCCTCATGTTCATGTTCCTTGTCATGATCGTTTTTTTGTTCCAACCGTTAAAATATGGCTGAAATATTGCAAACTCGGCGTAAAGCAACAATAATCAGTCATTTAATCTTTATGTTCCTTACTCATATGTTTATACATTTAAAAAGCATAATTTCAAAATATAATTGATTTGAGGCATCCTTTGGCATGTAAGGAGATAACAATGAACTACCAATTTAGAGCACAAAGTTAATTTCTTTTTAAAAAGAAGACGGCTCATATGAAAATGGGATGTTTTCTGTTCTTTTACAGTTAAGGAAAATGTTGAAGGAAAACTTGCATTATACATTTTCGTCGGTGCTTTCTCCATAGCCGTTACTGTTATAGTGATTCTAATAATTTACATCATCCGTTTGAGGTATGTTATTAGGCAATGCAGATAATCTATGAATTTTGCATGAAAATATAAGCTCTGTACATTCGATGATAGCATCACGTGCAATATTTAAGAGGTCATGCCAATAAGCATTGAGCTTCACCCTATATAATCATGGAAAGTGGAAAAATTTATTTCTTGCTCAAATTTTGTGAACATGATGCATATGATTAGTCTTTCAAAAAAATATATCTACCCGGGCATATGACCTCTTGTTTCCATGGCAACCAGAGTATTTTGTTATACTTATCAGAGAAATATGTGAACTGGCCTATCCTGTTATAATTCATATATTTGACCTCAAAACTCTAGGTATAATTTAATAATGTGGGTAATAAAGTGCTTTGAACTATATTTCTCTATTTTATAAGTAAAATTTTATTTGTGCTTAATTTTATTAAGATTTTACCGGTAAAATTATATCCCACAAAGAGCTATGTGGTTTGCAAATGCTGTGCAGCTTTAAAAATTTCTATATATATCTGTGGAAGGAGAATGTTCTGTTCAATATATTAGATAAATAAAATTGGGTAGACTCTTAAAACCTTAAGTAAAATATAAGATTGAATTGTTGGAAAACTCTGTTGAAAAACGATTGGATTGCCTCCCTTGCATGAGCTCTCTAGTAAAGGAGACCGGAAAGAATGGAACAGACAACAATTGAGGAAATGCGGGAGAAAAGGGAAAACTTCCAACTTGGAGTACTTGGACAAAAACATATAATGGTATGTTAAATATATATTTTTCATGTAAATTTTTGGGTAAACTTTGATAACTTTATCTATTTAAAGCAAGAGTAAAGATTAGGAAGGTACCTCAAGATTAATTTTTCTATCCTATGATGTGATACAAATAGGCCTATTGAGTGATGCAGCGAAGTTACTGCCTTACAGGTATTAAATTAAGAGCAACCTGTTATATGACCACAAATGTTTTCTTCTGCAGTTGTTAAATTACTCCTCATACAATTAAAGATAGATAAATGCTAATAATGAAATTTAAAATAATTTTATGCCTATGCTATTTGTGTATTAAACTGTTAAAGAGGTCATGAGGTCACACTGCTGGAAAGACTAAAGTCCCTTATATATACACACATAAATCATTTTAACCCACCTTCTCCCCCATTTATAAATCAGAGTTTCAAAACCTAAACTATGTCCAAATCTTAGTTTTAATTAGTCTTTCATAACATCAATGGAACAAACTGACAAATATACTTATCTTATGAGACTAATTTGCCAAATGAGTAGAGAATGGTACATATATTACCAATTCAATGTGGAAAAATAGCATCAAAGTTGTATATTTACCTTTATATTTTAGATGAAATATATTACTTAATGCCACAAATAAAAATTATTCTACACCCCCCCCCCCCCCCAAAAAAAAAAAAAAACAAAAAAAAACAAATTGGAATCTGTAAATTCTATATGAAAGGAAGCAAGATTGATAATGTTTAGGTAGTTCATAGATCAATTTTTCTGCTCACGAGTGTTAATGTACATAAAAGTTTGATTAAAATTAATGAATTAAAAAAAAACTGGGATTACATTGTATAATTCCATTTATAAAATTTTAAGATAAAGTAGTCAATAAATTATCTTACCACCCCACTCCCTATGTTCAGGAAAACAGACCTCATTAATTCATATTATTTGCTTAAAAGAGTCAAAATATACATATGTAAATTATGACGAAGGAATTAAGTAATGTTTGTCTTTGAGAATTGAACCACCCCATTTCAACTTTAAAATCCAGAACTCCTATATATTATGAAGCTTGTTCATCTGCATTGTTCTACTGTCTAACTGATTCATGCTAATTATTTACATTGACTAGCATAGTAGGAATTGCATACATATATAATGGTTATGCAGCCTTCAAAGAAGATAGGATGTACACGTAGGATTAATACATAAATTTGTTTTTGTTTTTGTTTTTTTTTTTACAGCAAAAGGTAGTTGAAGATAAAATCCTGTTGCTCTAAAGAAGCCACTGGAAGAAATCTATGGAAGGGAATTACCGCCAAAAGTCTATGTATCTTGCTTTTATTCTTATTCTGCCTACTTCTTTATGCTTTGTTATTATTGTAACTATATGTCACTTTATTGTTTTCATATTCGTCTTTATTGCATTTCACTTTGACTTTTATCCTTCTTCATTTCGCCCTTACTTCTATGTTTCTTTATTCTTGTTAAGTCATTTTATTTTATTTTTAAATTGATACAATATCTTAAATGATTATCTCTATTACGAACGTTAACTCAATCACGCAAACAATGAAGCATATTCAATGAAGACGAATGTAAGTTGTCAAACCGTCAAAATTTAGTGCGGCATTATAACGCTAGGTGGTGTGTTGTTCGCTACGAGTGTTGGTAAAACTAGGTAACCAAACCCGGGTCGGGTTATTTGAGATTCTTTAATACGCCTTAGTACTTTAATTATCAATCGAACTTCTGAAGGTCTGATCCAGTAATCCGATCCAATAATGGAAACTCCATATTCATTTTCTCTGGCCACACAGGATATACTGTAGTGGCCTCTTTTTTCAGACATAACTTTATACTATACTGAATATGTTTATTGAAAGGCCGACCCACTTTTTTTAAAAGTACGGGTCAAATAAGTTAATGTAGTACGTATAGTAGGTAGAAAATTTAAATTTGACTCTATAGAAGAAGTTGAATCTAAGCCAAAACTCATCCCGCCTTCGAAATAGGATTTCATTGGCATCGGAAGCAAAATGAAAGGGGGGGCTAAGTGTAAGAATTTTTTAAGACCATCAAAAAAAAAAACCTGACAAGCAAAAAAAAAAAAAAAAAAAAAAAAAAAAATAAAAGAAATGTCCATTTTCCGAACTCAAATATTCAATTTCGTGGGGGTGGGTGAGGGGGGGGGGAGGGTAGGTTCGAACGCCAGTGCCAAAGTTTTTTTTCCAATACACCACCACTTTCCCCATTTTAAACCTATACTGCATTGTGCCCATGGCAAGTGGGGGAGGGGTATAACCTATGCAGGAACGTCTGTACTAAGTCTATCTCTGGAAAAAAAAGTGGGGACTAAGTCCACCCCCTCCACGGTTCCGACGCCTAGTATGTATTTTCAAGTTTTTTTTGCGCTTGTCAAGTTGTTTTCAGCCGGGTACTTTAATATTTATTCTCTTGTTGCCCCCTCCCCACTTTCAAAAACTTACAATGCTACGTTACTGTTCTCTCGCCTGAAAAATATAACTCTATTAAAGTTATTTGTTGGATAATTGAATTCTAGTTTAATTGATATAAAAATGTTCAATATTTTGATACTAGTTAACCCTCATAAATTGGGTTGTTTTTCAGAACCTTCCACTGTACTGAAGTTTATTTCATGACAGATAGTAACTGCTCATGTGTGTGATTCTAGGGGCAGGGCTTTGCAAAGGAGTGAGGAGCGTTAATATGGGTAGGCAGGCGCGGATCCAAATTTTTTTTCCAGCGGGAGGGGGGGGGGGGGGGGCGGGGGCCCCCCAGCCCAAAAACAAAAATTCCAATCCCAGAAATTACTTGACGAGCATAAAAAAACCTAAACTCGCCCAAACGTCAAAATCCAATTTCGAAGGGAGCGTTTAACTTTTTTCCTTGCTTTAGTATATACATTTTTAAACCTTGTAAATTCCAGGGGGTCCTTAAACCCCCTCCCCCTCTAGATCCGTGCATAGTAGGCGAAGTAAGAACTAGGCTTCATGCATCCAGACATACTAGAAACTCCCTGGTCTTATTTCCAGCGTTAATATTTCCTATTAAAATAGCACTTAATTTTCAATAAAGAAAGAAATATCTTTAGTACGCATCGTATTTGTGATCAGCCAGGAGAGCTAAAAAAATCTTAAAACTCGAAAATTCTGTTTGGTGGTGGTGAGGGGGGAGGGGTCGTCAACTTTTTTACAGTGCTAAATTTTACTCATACCAATAAGTACATGACTTTTAATATATAAATTGACTATAAGTACTGCAACAAAAAGGGTAAGACAGGGACGTAGTATCAGAGGGGGGGGGGGGGCAGGGGGGGGGGCTCCCCACCCACTTTTTCGCCCGACATTACCTTTAAAATAGAAAATTTTTACTTAAAGGAAGATTACCCCCCCCCCCCCCACATTTCACCACAGTGGATATAAAAAAAAAATTCCCCCCAAAAAATTGGAATTGAAAAATAGTTGTTCTTGAAAAAAGTTAGCCACTTTGCCGATGGAGAGCTGCAAATTTGTCCTATATACTTGGCACTTATAGCCATTGAGCAATGAGGGATCTTTTCTTGTGCCAGCACCTACTGCGACACGGGACCTCGGATAACAAGGTCTAGATCGATGGATTGAAATCGACATCCTACAGTGGGATTCTTACCCACGACGTATTGATCGACTCTTTACTACTGTACTTCGTGACTCTGGAGCAGACGCCGTTACCACAGTGCCACGCAGGCGACTTAACCCAGGGGTGAGGGGGGTTGTCATAATCCATATGGACTCGTGAAGATTATCTATATTTAACTATTGGTTAAAATGATTTAATTGTAAAGCACTTTTAGAAGGACGGATAACTTTTCTTAAAAAACTGAAAACGTTCGTATATATAAACATCGTTTTACGATTAAAAAACTATTCGGGGGAGGGGTTGCTATGAAGGGGGGATTGCTATATATAGCAAGATTTCCCACGGAAGACTAGCAATACCCCGGGGGAAGTCCAAGTGTATAGTCTTCCAAAGGAAACATCACTATGTTTTACTTCAAAGGGAAATCTTACCATCTAGGACTTTCGAGGGAATGGCATGTACATATATCGGGTACATACCTGAACTGATAACAAACATCATTCATTTGAAAATTTAAGTTCGATCGATAAAGTATTAAGGCAGAAAATTGGAAAAAAAAAACTCGAATAACCCCGGCCCGGTTTGCTTACCTAATTTTACCAACACTCTTAGCGAACACCCCTGCCACCTAGCGTTATAATGCGGCACTTAATTAGGACAACTCGTATTCGTCTTCATTGAATATGCTTCATTGTTTGCGTGATTGAGTTAACGTTCGTAATAGAGATACTGTATCAATTTAAAATAAAATAAAATAAAGAAACATAGAAGTAAGGACGAAATGAAGAAGGATAAAAGTCAAAGTGAAATGTAATAAAGACAAATTTGAAAACAATAAAGTGACATATAATTACAATAATAACAAAGCATAAAGAAGTAGGCAGAATAAGAATAAAAGCAAGATACATAGACTTTTGGCGGTAATTCCCTTCCATAGAAATCTACATGTGTCTTGTTTCGAACAATAATTTAAGTTTTAAATATAATTGTTTTACCATGTTCCATATCAATTGCCACATAGCTGTCTAAAAAACATCTATCCCCAGAAGTGAATGTGAAGGAATTGAATGGAGGACTATGTGTGTTATGTATTTTTTAAATATGATATGGAGAGTCATTTAAATAAGAACATTCTGATTTTATTTATTACCAGGTATTGTCTTAAGCATGTTAAGGAGTATTTGTCAAGAGTTGAAGCATTATTCATACACTTAGAAGAAATCTCCTTCCTAAAAAGAAAATTAATGAAGATTGTGCAAAGAGGACAAATTATATTTTTATACCCCCCGCAAACGAAGTTTGGGGGGTATATAGGAATCACCTTGTCCGTCTGTCCGTCCGTCTGTCTGTCTGTCTGTCCGTCCGTCCATCTGTCTGTGCAATCGTGTCCGGTCCATATCTTTCTTAGAGAGGGACATTAGAATCTACTACTCCACACTAAGATAGCTCATGACCTAAGGGTGTGTCATGACCTTGACCCAAGGTCATTTGGGGAAGTTCAAGGTCACTGGAAGAAAAATGTCAAAATTCGTGTCCGGTCCATATCTTTCTTATGGATAAACTTGGTAGGTTCTCATTTAACACAAAGATTGCCCATGACCCAAGGGTGTGTCATGACTTTGACCCAAGGTCATTTGGAGAAGTTCAAGGTCACTGGTAGAAAAATTTCATAATTCGTGTCCGGTCCATATCTTCCTTATGGATAAACTTGGTAGGTTCTCATTTCACTCAAAGATTGCTCATAATTCAAGGGTGCATCATGACCTTGATCCAAGGTCATTTTGGGAAGTTCAAGGTCACTGGAATAAAATTTTCAAAATTCAAGTCTGGTCGATATCTTTCTTATGGATAAACTTGGTAGGTTCTCATTTCACTGAAAGATTGCCCATGACCCAAGGGTGTGTCATGACCTTGACCCACGGTTATTTGGAGAAGTTCAAGGTCACTGGTAGAAAAATTTCGTAATTAGTTTTTGATACATATCTTTTTTATGGAAAAACCCCAGCGGGAGGTATTTTGTCCCGTTTGGACAGTTTTAGTTTAATTTACTTTATTTAAAAAGAAAAAGCAAAAAAACTAGAAATATGTTCATATGGCATGAATACCCTGTCGTGGTTATATTAGTAATGCAACATGAAAATTTTAATTAGTGTGTGAAATTTGATCAGAATATCTTGAATAGTGATGCAGTTGAATCGTTTACATCAGTATGTATCAGCATAATGAAGTTTGACACTAATTTCAGAAAAGTTAGGTCAAAGGAAAAGCCAAGGTCAAAAAATGTTTATGCAGTTGAAAAGCTCTCATCAGTATGTATCAGCATATGAAGTTTTACATAGAAATTATAATATAGGAAATTCTTGAAAAATCTTCTTCTCAAGAATAACAAAGCCATGATTGGTCATTTTATATGGAAGCATCCTCAGATAGTGTAGATTCAAGTTTGTTCAGATCATGACCCCCCGGGGGTAGTTTGGGGCCACAATGGCCTACCAAAGTTTTACAGATAAATATATAGGAAAATTCTTTAAAAATCTTCTTCTCAAGAATAACAAAGCCATGATTGGTCATAATTAATTGGAAGCACCCCTAGGTAGTGTAGATTCAAGTTTGTTCAAATCATGACCCCGGGGTAGGGAGGGGCCAAAATGACCGACTAAAGTTTTACATAGATATATAGATATATATATATATATATATATAGAAAAATTCTTGAAAAATCATCTTCTCAAGAATCGTAAAGCCATGACTGGTTATGGGACTTCTTTTGGATTAAAACTTTTCAATAATAAACCAATTTTCTACTTTTTCCTAGCCACAGTGCTCAGGTGAGCGATGTGGCCCATGGCCTCTTGTTTTGATTAACCAAATACTAATTTTGTTCTTGAACTGTCTAACAGGACCATGCAGCTTGAAAATTATGATGCAAAAAATAAATAGCAATATATGATAAATGCCTCAAATGGCCCCTTAAAATGAATATCTTTAATTAGTTTACTTTATTTGTAGCTTTAATTTGTACAGCTATACATGCAACCTTTATTGGTCATTTTCAAATTGATCAAAATGCGCCTAATACAGAAATATGACATCATAAAGTTCACATTTTCCCGCCATTTTAGCATATCTTGTATAAAACTGCTTATTTTCAAGCATTTTTTTTCCAGAAAGTATAGAGAGCAGACTAGAACAAGCTTTATATTTTTACCAAAGATGTATCCATCCAATACTAATTATAGTGACATAAAAATTATGTATGTTCTATACTGCACTCTGTTTCCTATAAGACAAAACATCAAATAGTCATATTTTTTGTCTTTTTTGATTAGATAGCAAAAATAGCATTATTTCTCATGTCATTTTCAGCCAGTGACTGCATATAAATATGAAAAATATTTGGAAATATTTCGAATATATATTCTTTTCAAATTCAATATCAATCAAACATATCTCAATATCATTCTAAAATGTTGATTTTTAGGGGGCCAAAATTAGCTCTTATCATGTATAGTCCTTTATAATTTGACATTAAAGTCAAAGGTCAAGGTGAAAAGAAGGAAATATTTCTAATATATCCACATCTTCAAATTAAATATCAATTAAACATACCTTAATATCATTCTAAAATGTTGATTTTTAGGGGGGCAAAATTAGCTCTTATCATGTATAGTCCTTTATAATTTGACATTGAAGTCAAAGGTCAAGGTGAAAGGAAGGTCATGGTATTTTATGACTCATTTTCATTCCAGATGCACCAATCTGTTACATTTGACATTGTTTCTTATAGGATAAATTACTTATAATACAATGAACTATTTGCAGGAAATCATCTATAAATGCCTAAATTTGCATATCTTTGAATCTCCATGGCAACATTGTTTTTGATTGTCTACCCAATTTTATTTTTTTAATTCTTCAATTAACCCAACCCTAACAAAATCACACTAAAGAGTTTATAAGTAGTTGCACAGCATTTTTTTAAAAGCCTTTCAAAAAGTGGTGCAAATTCAACTATTTTTTTGTTCAAATCATATCTCTTCTTCCCATCACCATAGCAACGTACTGAAAAAATGTAATCATATTTAGTTGGTCACCTAAGAACTTAGAATTAAGTCCTCCTTAAGGAATGAGTAATTGCAAACAATATTTTGACAACATCTATGTGCATATATACTCTTTTTATGGCAATATTTGCCTGTTTTGAAAGTAAAAAATCTATTCTGGTAACTAAGGAAATGTTTTTCCTTGGATACGACAGTGTCGTTATGGTTAAAATCAGTATTTTTGTATTTTTTTGTTTAATTGTGATGGAAATAATCCATAAACACTGATTTCAAGAAAATTAAAATGTTTGACTTTCCATTCAAAGCTCAATGCTTACTGGCATGGCCTCTTAACACTTATAAACGAATGCAAATCAACATATTTTTCACAATCTTTAAGAGGCAGAATTGGACAATTTCATACGATTGATAAATATAATACAAGCAAGAATTTGAGCATGGAAGCAGAAGGGGAAAACTATGACGCAATTATCAATACGTCGAACAACGAGTATCAAGAACTTGGAGTGATTGGTCAGAACATCCCAAGATATTAGTGTAATTTTTTTTTCTGTATCGAGAGCAAAAAGAACAGATAAGACACCTCCTTGTCTTCATTGTCTCACACACCATCATAATGCATGTGACAATTTACAACTGTAATTTATGTATTGCAATTATACAATTAACACGCGTTGTTCTGAAAAAAAGTTTTATCTTACTTTTTTATATTTAAATTGTTACCACTTTTTATCTTTTGAAAAATCTTGTATATTTTATTGTAATCATCTTAACTTGTATATTGTTAACACAATGACAAGAAATAAGTTAAAAGCGTATCATACACGACTTGTTAACCTAAAAGATATGAAACTCCTCTTATTTTTTTGTGTCTATTTTAAATAAATAATAAATGGAAATATGTCGTATGTGGTTGCATTTAATTCAGCAAGTCACTCGATATTCGTCACTTTAAATGTTTTAAAATGTTTCATTCTATTTTATTCAATGTTTAACAATATTATGAAATATCGGTTTATTAATAAATTTTACGAAAATTTTGAATATTCTTTAAAATTATTTTATGAAATAACCATTTAAAACATATAGAATCTGCTAAAGATGCAATTTTATTTTTATGAATTGTAAGACTTTTTTTTAGCAATAACTTATGATTTGAATTTTTTGTTATAATGTATATGATATGAAAATGCAATAATTAAGAGCAATGATTAAAATCTCTTCTGGAGAATGAAAGTTAAAAATAGATTTACAATAAAATTTCAGAATATCCAACCATGATGTTAACCTCGTTTTGAGTTAATTAAACTGCAATTAGATTTTTTCCCCTTCAATCAATTGAAATGATTTTATCACAAGAAAATAAAACATTGATTTTTTAATGTTTACTTGGTTAAGTAAAGTCATTGAAAAGAAATCATACAATCTAAACTTGCATGTATATAAAGTTTGAAAATGAAATCAGCAAAGAAAATAAAAAAAAGAAAGGAAACAAAGAGATTATCCCATTTTTTCTGTAATATTTGCTTATACTAAAAGGTAATAAGGCATAAAATTTTAATATTTAATCTTGAATAATATAGACTCATTTAAGTAAACTTCCTAAAGTTTTGTGTCGTAGTTAGTAGATATATCTAATTTCGAAGTGTTCTGGTTATTGTGATTTAATTCTATTGGTTGATCGTCTTTTTTTATCAAAGCCACACTGTCCGTTTGAGGAATGACGGAGTCGTCTACAGAGTAAGAGGTGCCAGTCGATGTTCTAGAAAGTATCATCCTAAAGAAAAAAATACTTCTCTTAAAAATCATTATAAGAAATAATATAAGAAAGAATTTAAGAGAAATTCTCAATTGAAAATCTTAAAAAATTCAGAAAAGCTTTACCTTACCTTTTCTTTATTTTGTAGAGCGCATAAATGCCAATTATAAGAAGAGTGGCGCAAAGTGTGCTCAGGATACCATAAAATTTTATTTGGGACACGTTTTCACTGTCCTGGACTGTAATACAATTACATTTTATATTCAAGTTATATTCAAGTCTTTATGGTTAGGATATATATATATATAAACACGTTATTTAAAAAAAAAAAACTTACCAAGTAGACAGTCATTTCCCTGTACTCCAGCTTTACAGCCATAATTACAGGTACCAGTCACGTGATGACAGTCACGTGATACTTTGCAAAACGGACTACATGCACTTTTACAGTTAGGTCCATAAAACCCAAATTCACAAACTACAATTCAAACACGGATTAATCGTTTCAAGCAAAATATTTTTTAGACATACTTTTCAGAAATTTATTAAAACAAAAAAAAACTATACAACAGCATCGAAAGATCAAAAAATAGAATTTCAAAATTATTTACTTTTATCACATTTATTTCCATGATATCCAGCGTCACAACCATTTACACAGGAACCGTTGATATGATGACAAGAACCGCTGTCGACTGTACATTCTCCACAAGATTTGTTACAACCTTCTCCATACCAATTCAAATCACACACTACGATATTTATAAAGTTATATAGTATTACATGTTAAAATAATGACCTTATAATCTTTTGTTTTGGAAAATATTTTTTTTTTAATTTTAATTTCACAGTTACTCAGTAGATTAAGTCTAGCGAAGATAAAAAAAATAGCTTTGATCAACATGTTGGGTTTGTAGGTTATCACATTCTTACCCCATTCTTACCCGTTTACGTAAACACTCTCAAGGAAACATTTGTAAGTAAAAAAGATAAATACCCTCATGACAGAATTCTCCTTTAAAACCAGGATGACATATATTTCCACAGGAACCATTCATTCTGTTACACTCTTTGCATGTATCATTACACTTATACACACAATTTTCTCCAAAGTACCCATCATGACATGCTTAAGAAGATATGCATATGTATTTCAGATACATGAAAACAAATTTATATATACCTACACCCGAAGGCGTTTATAGACTCAGATATACAGATATTCAATTATCAATCAAACAACATTAAATTTTTAAAATTTTCATTCTCTTATAATAATGTCATTTGATTGAGAACTAACATAAATGAGAATATCATCCTTTTTACATTTATTATTTTAGAATAAACATTAAATTTATAATTTATGAATACATATGGTCGGTGGTTTTGATTACTTGTATTGCAGTATTTTCCTTTATATCCCCTAGAGCACCCATTCAAACACGTCCCATTTATTTGGTTACATTCCTCAGATCTCTTGCAATATCCACAAGCCATGTTACAATTCTCGCCGAAAAATCCATCATCACATTCTGAAATAAGTTAACTTATCTACTCATACACGCGCAAAATATTCTTAATAGCCTGACTTCATTTCATTTTCAATATTACAATTTCATTTTTGAAACAAAAAAAAAATAGAATAGATTAGTCAGTTTAGTGTAATTTTTAGTATTTCATTAACATTTTGAAAATTACATTGAAAAAAGCAATCTGAAAAATCATTAAATTCAATTAA